CGCCTCTATTTCCTTGCGGTCTACAGCAGTGCCAGGCACTAGGGGCATTCATGTTGGATGCTGAATGTTGGATACAGTGAATCAGGGCAGGGCTAGATAAACCCAGGTACCCAGCCAGGACTCGTTTCTTGCTCAGACCGCCCTGATCTTGCCACCCAGCCCAGCGCTATTCTGACCTTGGGGGACTTGTGCCTGCCCAAAGCTCAGCCCACCACTGTCCTTTAAGGGTCTTCACCAGGACTTGGAATCCAGTGGGGCAGGAGGAGGGGTTGACACAGGGGATAGCCCTGATGGCCCTTGTCCTTCCTTTATTCTCCAAATGGGACAGATGTCAAGAGAAGGAAAGCCATGTTCAGGGTTACACTATGAGTCAGCCACTGTGAAGACCTGAAACCTATCTCTTCCACTAGCAGTGAACCCCCCTCCCCCAAGTGAAAAGCTAGAGCAGGAGCAGATGCCTTTGGACCTTCCTGACCAGTTTCAAGTCCATGGACACTGCCCGGGAAGGACTTGGTCGAACTGGCCAGGCCCAGGGAAAGAAGACGGGAGAGTGGGTGCATGGCCCTCCACCCCCTGACTCAGGGAGTGTGACGGCGGTGGGGCCTTCCTTGTCTGACGGGCACCGAGTCAAATAGTAGTGACAGAGGGGCAGTGCTCTCCCACCCATGACTCACACCACCACCCAATGGCCTCTCCAGGGGGAACTCCCAGGAGGTTTGGGGACACCCAGTGAAGTGAGGGCCTGTCCCATCCAGGGCCAAGGGCTGGGCCCCTAAAAAGTGGAGGGGTGGCCTTCAATTTGATTCATTGGGTGCTGGCTTGCTGGAAGACAGCCACTGCCTACCTTGGCCGAGGGTAGAGGTCAGCGCCATCTCTGCCCTGATGAGAGTTTCCATTTCCACCTCTGCCTGGTTCTGCTGCTGGCAGGGTTGGGTGTCGCCTGCTTGCTGAGGAAGGAAGTAGACTGGAGCGGGCTGGCCGGGGGCGTTCAAGGATGGGCAGTAATGACCGTGGTGATGAAAATGGTACTTGCCAATGACTGAGTTGTTTGCTCTGGCCAGTCACATTTTCCATTTGTGATTTCATTTAATTTTCATGAGTAGACACAACTATGATCCCCATTGTAGAAGTGAGGGAACTTAGACGCCAGGATAGGTGGAGTGGCGGGTGTGAGATTGGAACCTATGGCTTTGAAGGGAATTGAGGTCCCCGAGCACGCCCTCCTGAGGCAGAGGGGCCTTGCCCTTGCTTTCTTCACCTCCTCCAGGAAGACTTCTCTGGTATCTGGGTTCTCAGGACCTTTGTGCATACCTGGCCTAAAACTGTTTTTTCCACCTTTGTGTCCTGGGCAGTGTGGGTGCTCATGTGGGCAGGGGTGTGTGTTAAAATGAAGAAAAGAACCATTTTTAGAAGCCACTATCTAAGGAATCCTGGTGGCACAGTGGGTTAACCGTTACACTAGTAACCACAAAGTTGGTGGTTCAAAGCCACTAGTTACTCCGATGAAGAAAGATGAGTCTGTCTGCTCCTAAAGACTAAATCCCATAGATTTAGTCTCAGAAACCCTAAGGAGACTATATAGGGATTGCCATGAGTCAGAATTGACTCTAAGACAGTGGGTGTGCTCAGAGTCTACTAGAATGATGCACTATTGGTTTCTGCCTATGTCATGGACTGGTCAGGTTGCTGGGTGAAGCAGAATCTGCATACACCTGGCTGCCTGCCTGAGCTCAGGTGTGGGCACTGCACAGGTGGGGCTCATGGGTCTGGTTTCTTCCTCAGTGGGTGACACCAATGGAATCTTATACTAGGAAGGTGAGAAAGTCCCCTAAGCCTGGGGAAGTAATAAGGCAGTTAGATTGCTAAGGAAAGGTGGGATGCTCTCCTACCCAGGGCTCAGGCAGCTTGACTCACCCCTAAAGCAGCCCCATCATCTTAGGAAAAGGCTGTGAATCGAAGTACTAAGGTTGGGGGCAACCTCTGGCTCAGGAGGGCTCTTCTCCACCTTGTCTACCTCTGAGGGTTTCATGATGTGTAGGGTTGTTGTTGTTAAGTGCCATCGAGTCGGATCCGACCCATAGCGACCCTATACAGGGTTTCCGAGGAGCGACTGGTGAGCTTGAACCGCTGACCTTGCAGTTCAAACGACTTTGCAGTCTGGAGCATTAACCCCCAGTGCCACACCAGGTAGCACCTTCTAAGCCCCCAGCCCTCCAGAGCCTGTGTCCATCCTGAGGAGGACAAAGTACTTCTTGCAGCCCAAGCACGTCGCTCCCTTTGTGTCCTGTCCAGAAAGGCGCCCCAAGAACAAAACAAGCCGGGATCACACAGGTTATTATATATCATGCTTTTAATACAAACTTAAAAAAATCTGGAACAATATAAACTGTACAGATTTGATCAATCTTTTTGTTCTGTTTTTTAAACTAAATCTCTAAACACACCAATGTCCCATTCCAAAATATTGCACAACATTCTGAATACAAAATGCTTGATTGTATTCCTCCTTCACTAAAGAAAAAGTTCATCACCTGGCTCCCCCCCCCAAGCTCCTCTCCACATTCACCTCAATGCCCCCCCACTTCCCATCCCTAGCTACGGAGAAAACTAGAGAATCTATAGCTCACTGCATTGAGAAAAATACATCATTCTGGACGAAAAGTTTACATTCTTCACAAGACAATCCACCTTTTTGATTTGTTCCTGGGAAAATGGGGATAAAAGAGAGGAGGGAAGGGGTAAAAGAGGTTTTATTCTCCTTTTTTTTATTTTAAAGTTTGTTTTTCCTGAAAAAATATCTTTCTCTCCTCTTTTTAAGAAAAAATCTTGAAAAGAAAAAAATTACATTTTTTAACGTTAGAAATATACATATATTATATATACCTCTTACATTTTACAAATGTAGCAAATTATTCCATACAAACGGACACCAAAAAATGTAAAAAATTAAAATTAAAAAAAAAAAAAGGAAAAAGAAAAAAAGAAGTCTTCCTACGAAACCAAGTAAATTAGTGCAGATTTTTTTCTTTTCTTAAAAAATAAAATAAAATTGAAGCAAAAATGCCTAGATCTGAGATAAGACAGACTGAACTGGGTCCAAGATCCCAGCCCTGGAGTCATGCTCCAGAACATACATAGTCCTCATATTTCAAGACACTGAGGGGTTGGACTCCCCTCTCCCTGTATGGGACCTGCTTGGGGAAGTACCTGTGTTCGTGAGTTGGGAGGGGGTATAAGGCAGTAGCCAACCTTTCCCAGAGAGCAGCTATCCGCCTGGGCCTTTTACCTATGTGGGAGCTGAGGACATGGGAGAGGGGGTCCAGACTGGGCTGGCCCCTGAGAAGTTTAGGGGACAGCGGGAGCTGGGCCGAGGAGCCAGGGCATTGCCCCGCTGGGGGAGGTAGAGCTGGTGCCCAGAGCGGAAGTGGGAAGGGGCAGCAGTATCTGGGCTCGACCCACTGCCACAGTAGTTGCCTATCTGGAGTCACTGGGGAAGAAGGGTTGGGGCGGTGGGCCAGAGGCCATGTGGCCTGCTTGCCAAAGCGCTGTGGCATGGAAGCTGGCCCACTAGGGTAGGGGGAGCCGGCTCTCTGGCAGAGAAAGGAAGCGAGTGTTCTTCTAGAAGTCAAACTCAGCAGGCAGGATGGCTAAGCACCTGTCCAGCCCAGTCTGACCAGGAGCCCACTCCTCACAGCACAAGGCCCAGTGGGGTTGGGTTAAGAAGTTCCCGCTCAGACAAAGGGCACGAGTGGACAAAATGATCTACAAGCAAGACTCAAGAATTCACTTCTAGGCTCTAGGGCAGGCCACCACAGGCACCGACCAGCCCCGTCCCTCCCACCCCAAGGTGCTCAGGGGAGCAGTTTCCACCCTGGGTTAAGGACGCACAACAGGAGGGTCGAAGTCTGGGGACTTCTCTTAGGCATTAGACTTGGGTATTCCCTCAGGCTCTCAGAGGGATCCTTTATTTTTTATTTTTGGTCAAAAACAAACAAAAGTGCCAATCTCTCTGCAGTCTGGAAAACCAGCTCCTCCTGCAGTGCGTCCCCCGGGAGTGTCTCAGGCTCAGCCAGTCTTGCTTCCTGGCATCTCGGATTCCCAGTCTGGAGAGCCCGACCCCGAACTCACAGAGAGAAACACTTGTTGCAACCCAGAATCACATCCAAAGTGGGAGTTTCACATGGCTTGGAATCTTTTTAAAAACAGGGCAAGAAACACACACATGCACGCACGCACGCACGCGCACACATTCCCCACCTCCCACCCACCTTAGGCCTGAGGAAGGGGCTGCTTGGGAGAGGCCACATGGATAGGTGGATGGGTCTGGCTCTCTCCAGGCCCTCAAGCAACAGTGTGGGCCAGGTGGGGATGGTGAGGCGGGGCCACAGGACAGAGATAACAGGAATTCAACTCAACAAAAGTGCGCCCCTCCGCAGTTCCAGGCATCAGCTCTACAGGGAAGGTGTTGAGTGGCCAGTTGGCGCTTCCTGGGTTCCAGACCTGAGAGAGTGGTGGCTGGGGTCAGACCTGTTGCGGTGGCAGTGCCCAAGAAGGCCCGTTGAGGTTGGATGGCTTGGAGTGAGAGGCTGGCTGGATGACAGAGGAAGTGTTGTAAGGCCAGCCTCTCCTGCTCCAGGGAGGGGTGGGCCCAGAGATAGCAGTTCCTTCCCTGGGAGCCTGGATACACCACCCATACTGAACCAGGTGTGTAGAGGATGGAGAGGAAGCCGGAGCAGCGATTTACATCTGGACCATTCTTAGCACAGGAAGCCACTAATTCAAGATGTTATGTAGAAAACTACATGTAAAAAAGAAAAAAATTAAAAGAAGAAATATAAAACCCAAACCAATCAAATCCATCAGAAGCAGGCAGGAAAGTAGTAGGGGGGTTGAGTTAAACAGAATTCAGGGCTTTAGGAGCCCCTCCCACTTCGTGCCTGGGCTGGATATCTTTCGCTTCTAGAAGTGAGAGAAGATTGGGACGCTTTTTTGTGTATTTCTCTTTTCCTCTTCTTTTGGCCTTTCCATTCCTTTCTCTTTCCAGTGGTCCTGGGCTCCTGGCCTCGTAGCTGGGTGGGGTCAGTTGGCCAGCACCACGGGCTGGAAGGGCTGGCTGGGGTAGGGCATGGTGTTCAGGTTGTAGCTGAGGCCTTCCACGAAAGGTGTCTTCTCCAGAAAGAGGCTGTTGGAGCCCCCTCCAAATACCTGGGCCACATCGAAGGTATTGCTGTTGCAGGTGCCAGCCCCAGTGCCCCCAAAAGGGGCTGAGGTGCCACTGCCCTGGCCATCGACCCCATCAAAGAACAGGCTGGGTGAGCCACTGCCATTGTACACGAACTCCTTGGCATTGGGTGAGAGCTGGGATTGTGGGGCCGGACTGGCTGTGATAAAGTTCAGCGAATGCATAGACAGAGAGAGGTTCTTGTGCTTCAGCAGGTTGTTGGTGGGCGAGCGGGCCAGCCGAGGCTGCTGCTGTGGAGGCTGCTGGCCACTCCCCCCACTGCTGGCTGTACCCCCACCGCTGGCTGCCCCGCCACCCTTCTTCATCTTGGTGGAGCCAAACTTGGTAGCAGCGAAGGAGGCGGTGGTGAAGGTGATGGGCTGGGCAGAGCGCGGGATGAAGGTGGGGCTGGGCGACTGGCCGAAGGATGGTGATGGGGAGTTGGACAGGGAGCTGTCCTGGCTTCCAATAGGCACGAAGACCTGGGCCTCAGGGTTGAAGCTGCTCTTGATCTCCTTGTCCAGCTCGGGGACACCACAGCCCTCGCTGTCATCCAGGTATAGCACTTTCACGGCTCCCTTCTCCCCAATCTGATAGGACACCTCAAAAGGGTCAATCCAGACGCTTAGCTCCTCAGGCACATTGGCCCGCACGTCCTCCACTGCCAGGCCACTCCGCTTGGCGGCCAACTCCACCACAGGGTCCACGGTCTCCCCAATGTGGACACAACGGAAGCCCGAGCCCTTCAGTGGCTTATCAGGATACCAGTGGCCTTCATACTTCTTCTTTAAGAGTCGTTCTAGCTCCTCCCCAAACAGGTCTGCCCGTCGCCGGGGCAGCTTGTTATACAAATATGAGATGATGAAGTTCAGGGCCACTTTGATCTCCAGCTGCATGGTTTTGTCTTAGGCAGAGAATTGGCGCAGGGCACGTGCACAGGCTACAGATGGTGGCAGGAGATGGAAGGTGGGCGGCCCTGGGCTCCAGACAGCTCTGGTGAATGAGAAAGGAGAGGGGCACCATGAGTAGACATACAGAGAGCCTGTGACAGACAGAAAGATTACTGACTGCAAAGGAGCAGGACTAGAGACCAAGTTGGCCTCATTTCTGGTCCCCCAGTGGCTAGCATAAATAGTGTGACTGTAGGCAAGTTCTTTTCTTTGAAGCCTTAGTTTCCATATCTGGAAAATGGGCTATCGTGGAGATGAAGTTGGTTTGAAGATGTAAACTGTATCATGCTAAACTTGGCATGTACTAAGTACCGGATAAAATTAGCTCTATTTTCAGGTAATGCTAAGGAGTTGTGGTGTGGCCCTGTGGGCTAATGTGTCAGACTGCAAAGTCGTTGGAACTGCAAGGTCGGTGGTTCAAGCTCATCAGCTGCTTCTTGGAAACCCTATACAGGGTTGCTATGGGTCGGAATCGACTCGACAGCAGTTAACAACAACAAAGAAATAGGGGGCTGTCTGTAGTTCTCACCACTTTTGAAAGTTTAGGGCACTGTGCAAATGACACACACACACACATACATACAAATCAGCTCCCTACTTCAGCTGAAGAAGGGCAGGCTCTGGTTAATTGTCTTGGTAGAGATGGTAGACACAGGCCGAGAACTAAGCTAAGAATCTTTAGTCTTCCTTCTCCGAACAGGAAGTGTTGTTATTGTTAAGTGCTGTTGAGTTGGTTTCGACCCATAGCGATCCTGTATACGGTTTCTGAGAAGTGGCTGGGGAGAGCTTGAACCTTAGACCTTATGGTTCAAACAGACTTTGCAGTCTAGCTCATTAACCCACAGTGTCACACCACAACTCCAGAACAGGAAGTAGCACTGCCAAATCTGCATCAGGGTATGGACCCGAGTTCCATTCAGTTTGTCCTCTTGGACTCTGGATGTGTGTGTGCCCTCTTACTCAAGGCTGGCATTTCCATCTAGAGGACCTCCATGAATGGAGCATCCCCAGGAAGGAGTTAAGGTCTGTCAGAACCCAAGATATGGGCCAAAGGTACCCAGGCTTCCCCCAGGGCTACCCCAGAAAAGTACAGAAAAGGAACAGCAGGGCTGTGGGGGCCACCCAAGCATTTGCAGCAACACTGGGCGGGGGGGGGTGTGTGGGAATCTCTAGTTTCTGGCTAGAGTAGAGGTAAGGAAGGTGGCAGAGGGTAGACATTTTCCATCCTCCACAGCCTCCAGCTGGGGACCAGCATCACTCAGTCTCCTAGGCTTGTCTGACCACCTGTCCTCGGCACCAGCTCAGCTTGGTCAAATGTTTAGAGAGCCCAGGGGAGAAGGCAGCTGAAGATAAATACTCAGACTGTTATTTTGGGATTCTCTCGCCACCAAATCCCATGGAGGTCAGAAAGAAAGATGATCTGTCAGGTTCTGAGAGCCAGTGATCCTAATCTCTCACTTTCTCCTAAAGGGTGGCTTCCCAGGCTCATGCTTATAGGGAGAGGAGGAGGAGGGGCGGGGGGTGGGGGGAGGTGGGAACTGAGCTGACAAAGGCTGCCTCGGAGGGGAAGTAGGTCCAGAACATGTTCCTGGCTGGATCTCTGGGTGCGGCTATGCTACTGAGCTCAGCCCCAGATAAGGCGGATCCTTGATCAGTCAAGGGCAACTGCCCTATGAAAGCCTTGGGCCTGGATTTTGATTCAAATTTCTGCTGGATCCAATATAGAGTATCCTAGGCTTGTGAATCCTAAGTTTTCTGAACATCGTCCCCAAAATATTTTCGATCAATCGCAGAAAGAGATCCCTGGGATAAATGTATCAGAGAGGGTGCCCTGGATCAACCTGAAGGAGTTAAAACCAAAAGCCTACACCAGTGGCTAGACCAAGTCCAAGGTCCACCTCAGGAATGAGGAAACAGACAGGGTCACATGGGGAGGAGGCAGCTGAGGGACTCCTCTCTCAAGCCCCCCATAGCATTCTCAGGACTCCAGAAAGCCTCATCTCCTAGCCTCCATCACAGATCGCATCTCTAAGTTTCTTCAAGTGCACATTCTCATCACTCATCAATCCCAGCGTCCTTCAAAGTTTGGAGAAAAGAAGAATGGGAGAAAGACTAAGGGGCTCTCTGTTAATAATGATTGAGCTCATCACCATATGGAAGTTAGCTATCAGGACAGCAAACCTCTTAAGGAAGTTTAAAAGGACCACAGCTGTCCACTAGAGGAGTCTGACAGAGGAGACAAAAGAACTGTCAAGAAGGTTGGCACCAGTGTCCATAAAGGAGGCTCGAGTTGAAAACTGTACTTTCAAAGCGATCTTGAAAAGTAAAATACAAACACACTCATATGACACCCCTCCCACGCCAGCACAGGGCCTCTTAAAGTGTGCCTCTCAATATGACACCCAGTCTAAAGAGCTTCTGTGCCCTTCCGGGCCTCCTCAAAGTTTGCACATGATTGCTTTCAAGTTAACCTCCTTTGAACAGTTCAGTCCTTAACATGGGAGCCTTTTAAATGTAGGCCAAAGCCACTGGGTTAATAAGCCTCCCACCCCCAAATACAATGGAGCCACTGTATCACAGCCCTGCTAAAATCTGCAGCATCAGCAACTCAAGCAGTACTCCAATTTCTACCTCAGTGATACACTACCGCACAAATAAGGAAGCCTGTAATGCCACCTTCACCTCTTTAATTGGCGAACAGGCTAGGCCAGATGGCTGTGGGGTGGGACCGCACAAAAATGGCGGACAACCCAAAGGAGATTTTCTGCTCTATTCGCTCAGGTTCTAATTCTGACTTCAAGAAGCTTCTGGAACAGAGGATTAAAATGTTGGGTTTTGTCTTATCTTTAGCTAAAGAGAGGAGGGACCATTCAGGTGAGTTTGTTCGTTCTTTTTGAGGCTGTGAACAAATGCTAGAGCTTATATATAAAATATTCACGGAAACGTGGTAAGATTAGAATACTTAGAAAGAAGTACTCTTCAATCAAGGAACAAATGATTTCATTTAAGTGGGCCAGAGAGGACTTGTGAGATTTTTTTCAAACCCTGAATTATACACAAAAGATCAGAAAGGTAGTTTAAAAAAAAACCCTGCAAAAGTGAGATTAAATTCTGTTCAATTGCATGAAGAATCTTATTCCTTCTTCACTTGTTTACCTATAAGCAACTAAAATATAAACAAAAGTACAAAGTTAAACCTCGTTTCAGATCCCTTGTGTTGACTTGTGTTTTAATGGACCTACGCCTGGAAATCAACAGAGATGGGGGGAGGCAGGCGGGCCACTGGAAGAAGTGATTGAATAAGACAATACAGATTCCAGAGAGACCTGACAAACGAAAGAAAGGTTTTAAAGAAAAGGAAAATTTAGTATAACCAATGGGGTGTGGGGGTGGGTGGCGGGAGAGAATAGTGATGAGGGAATTTATCAGGCACCAAACCAGTACCGATAAAAATAAGCTGTCTTAAAACACCTCAATCAACCTACAATCAGCCACAACCGGATTCACTGGAGGGTTGAAGAGAAGAATTTGAGGGGGGTGGTAAAGAGGAGTTGCTCAATTTGAACAAGTGGGTAGACAGGAGTGTCTGGACACTGCTAAGGTAGTGAGAACCAGACTCAGATTGGCTGGCAGGGCAGGACTGGGGATGGGCCGCACCCTGCAGGTCAGGGGGTGGTGACCCAGACCTGTGGGTGTGAGTTGACTGATTTTCATACTGACTGACTACACCACCCCACCCAAATCTCCTGCCATCTCCCTAAAACATAGACAGGGCAAGACAGGGTGTAACTACAAGGCGGCTCAGAAGCCAGATTTGACAGCTCCCCAAGGAAGGCCAAGAGGCTGGCGGCAAAGCTGCGCTCTGCACGACGGGAATTGCAGTCCTCAGCTACCTCAAACTCAAGTTGGAGCAAGTGACCTACTTTCTCTGTACACTGCACTTCCCTGAGTGCTTTGCGAGGGTTGGGCTGGCTGAACTACGCATGCTCATTAAGGGGAACAGGCCTATGGTCGGAAGAACAGAGGAAAAGTTTCCGATGCACATGCGCGCTGGGACAAACAGGCGCTCTCTGCCACCCCATACATTTTATAGAAATTCTACCTGTAAAGGCCTACTCCCCATATGGCACCACCCCACCGTATTCCTGCCTCTGCTTCGCCAGGAGGTGAACTTGTCCTTTCCACATCACTACTGTATTAGAGATCTGCTTCTAATGGGTTTTTCATGGGTGAGGGGGTGAGCGGGCTAGATAGGTCACGTCCCCTCCCACTCCTGAAACCTGAATTCCGTGGGTCGGGCTGTCTCTAGTCGGGGTTGCAGTAAAGACAGTGGATTCTAAGGGAAACGAGTCTTTTCACTAATGCCCGTTGGGCTCAGCTCCAGCATCCCCAAGGGCCAAGAAAGGCAGGAATTAAACCCAGTTATCCTGTCCTCTCAGCCAAAGAAACTCCCAGTTAAGCTGTAGGGAGGCGCCGGCTGGCTATCAGAAGGCCCAAGGCCTTCTTATCCAAGTCTGAATACCCAGACCTGGGGGAGGGAAATGCAGAGAGGTTCCCAGGCGGGGTTCTCCTTTGCCAGGTAGGAAAAACGTACATTTGTCATCTGACTATCTTAAGAGTATTGAAAATTCTGGGCTTGTGAAGTCTCCTCCCACTGCAAGGCCTCCTCTCAGACCAGACTTACCAGCTCCTTGGCAAAGCTCCCCATGGGGTGCTAAACCTCCCTAATCCTTCCTCCTACACTGCAGCGTCTCTCCACCTATGCTGAAGAGGGGGATGGGCCAGGCGCCCAGGGAAGCAACGGGGGTGGGGGGTGGTTTCTTCTGGGAAATCAGAGTCCGAGGGACCCACTTCTAATCTAGGGTGGGTGGGGGCAATGAGAAACAGAGAAAGGTTAGCTGGTTCTCAAGTTGAAAGCTGCTGGGGGGGGGGGTTCTGGTTCCTCCTGGGGGTGGGACAGAGCCTGCCCGCAGCCTTCTTCTC